CTCAGAATCAGCCTGGTCAGGTTTTATAAAACAAATTCTACACTAAATAAAAGCACATGTGCTTTTAAAAGAAATGAAAATCAGAATTATACAAATAATGAAAATGGATCCAAAAAGGCCACCACACGGTGTGCAATTATCATAAAAGGCCTCATCTGATTGCAGTTACAAAAACATCCTTTATTAGTTGATACAGGTCTCTCCCCTTTATTTTGCAGAACTGACTCCTTCCTCCTCACTCTTTTGTACTGAGAGAAATGTTAAAGTGGCAAACCGTGTTAGGATCACAGCTATCTTGTGTAACGCCAAGAAAACCTTTTATTTAAACTCCAAATGTCATTCTTCATCATGCAGCTGTCAACAAGTGCTGCTTTTTAATGTACTAAATTCAATCACGTCGACATAGAATTTGATATGAATTAACACAACAATTAAAAAAGGGGGAGGGAGTCAAATTTCCTTGATTCTATGTGCTCTTATGGCCTAAATATTAAATAAAATGGAGACCCAGTAAATAAGAGGAACAAATCACAAACTAATTTCACCATGGACTAGACATCTTTCTCATCTATTGACCAGTTAAGTGTTGACACTTCTTTTAAGAAGCAGATCTTTAATGCCACTTCCATTCCTGGATTTTTATTCACTGCTTGTGGCAGGCTTCCAACTAAGCTGAAGAAGAACAAAATGACCATTTACATATATGATTAAGTGCAGGACCTTTGCAAAACTAGAGATGTCTGGAAGCATGATGGAATTCACAATTGTAGCTTACATAGAGCTAGAGAGCAAATAGTAACAGGTCCCCAAGCAAGGTTGAGTCATTCAAGGCCCTGGCTAGGCACTGCCCACCAGATGCAATTAAGGCTACAAGAAGCCGGAAATGGTCTGTGCCATTTTGGGATGTCTGCATAGTTCTGTCTCCTTTTCCCTTTCGCCATGAGTATTTAAAGCCTTCATAGATGAACAGCCAAAAGAGCAGCATGCAACTTCTCACAGTGGCAACATGTTTCATCTGGACACCTGGGTCCTAGGAAGGTGGGTAAGAGGGAGAGATCTCTGCCTTCTCCCCAAGAGCTTAGAACAAAGCACAGGAACTGGTCTCCTCAGGCACCTACAGGCCAGGCCAGATGGTGGCAGAGGTAGGTGAAAGAGGAACAGGGGAAAGGGAGAGACAATAGATGGCTAGAGCTGGAAGAAGGAATTTAAATGCCAGCAAGCTAAATCTGAATAAATAGCAAGTACATGGATGCAACACTTGGTATAGTCCAACATGAATCACTGCAATCTAATCATGAGAGCCACAAAGAATACATTTAATATTCTCCTTTACACAACATATGAAAGCAGCTCCTGGACACAATTCTACACTTATCTCTACTATGCCATCTCAAGCAGGGAGGGGTGAGGCCTCACATAAATACTTATGAGAACCTTAGGACAGATTTACCTATTTATTTTATTAGATTTATGTCTTGCCCTTTTTTTTTTTTTTACAAAGAACTCAAAGCAGCTTACATGGTTTTCTTCCTCTTCTCAGTCTTATCCCTACAACAACAGCCCTGTGAGGCAGGTTGGACTGAGTCTGTTAGTGGCCCAAAGCCACACAGAGTAGGACTTAAGTCCACAAGTAGGATATAAATGCAACAGAATTCTCCTGCTTATGCTCCCAGCAACTGGCATAAAAGACCCACTGTCCCCAATACTGAAGATATTGTATGCCAACACATTTAGGCATGTGGAACCCTCTCAAGATAATTAGTTCTGTGTTTGTTGTTCCTCAGAAAACTGTACTGAAGCCAAAATCTGGTTACAGCCTCGGGCCTGCATCAGCACTCTATGGTTGAGAAATTCTGATTTTTTTCCAGCTTCTGCATTAGGTGAAATCTTAACAGTCACATTAATGTTTCATTTGCAGCATTAATTTAAGCTCTGTGTCTAACAACTTAGAGCAGCCATAATAATTACACAATGCAAGTTAGAGGTATTATGCCATAGTTGCCCAAGACTGACTAAGAATGGTGATAAGAAACTACATAACCATCTCTCCTAACAGCATTAAGTTACCCTACAGGGAAGTCTGCCTCACAGCTGGCATCTCAGTGTACACTGAAAATAGCCTACTCTTTTCCTTACTGAAGATATATCTATATATTTATCTTCTAAAAGGTGGTGCCAAAATGAAAACAACATGCCACTATTTTTATTTCATAGTTATGGCCATTGTAACCATTTAAGATGCTGTTTTCATCAGTTTTATTGATTATTGTGAAGTCTGAACGTATGCTTTTATCGTGATTGATATTTATTTATTTATTAAAACATTTTTATGCCGCCCCATTCGCCAAAGCCTCGGGGCGGCTTACAACAATAAATTAAAATAATTATAATCTTAAATTAAAAAATATAAACATTAGATTAAAAATACAAAAATACAATATAAAATAAGCTGCCCTGGCCAGATAAAATTCAATAATATTAACATTTAAAATGCCACTTAAATAAAAAGGTCTTCGCCTGGCGCCGAAAAACAAATAACGACGGCGCCAGGCAGACCTCTCTGGGGAGCGCATTCCATAACTTAGGCGCCACTGCAGAGAAAGCCCTGCTCCGAGTACCCACCCAGAGATCAGTGTATTCTACTTTGATTTTACTGCTGGCTACTTTAAGCATCATATGGTGAAAAGGCAGGATAGAAAATGAAACAAACAAATAAAAAGATATCAGTATTAAAATCAATAATGATTTCCAGAAAAAGGCAAAGGTTAAAGATTTCAGCTTGACTTCAATGATCTGCTTTATACTGAGTTAGTAAGCCGCTTTTAACACTATTTCAATTTTAGCACTTGGTGGAAATCAGTTCCCTTTCATTATCATCTGCATTATTCTTTAGGTGGAATTCAAAGGCACACTTACATGCCTTCTGATTCTCTTGTGCACCACCAATTCCAAAATGCAAGTAGTATGCACCATTTGTAAAACAATGCTTTCATGTTTACAGGGATAACAGAAAATGAGCAAAAATGCTCATATTTGGAAAAGGGCAGGTTGACTGAGCTCACATAAGGAGCTCCCCCAATCTGACCTGATCACATTTCCAGACTTACTCTGGAAATCACTGGATCTTCCCAAATTTAATGCTTCCCAGAGGAAGCCTGGAAATTAGTGCATCCAGTTTGTGCAATGAAATTAGCTGGACCCACCACTTATGCAAAGGAAGCTGTGGAGTGCAAGAGACTGGGCAGGTGTGTAAGTGCCCTACTGGATTCTATCCTTCGTTTTTTGAAAGAGGAGAATCACATGAAATGGGGCTTAGCATGATCAAGTTAAGCATGTTAAGCATAAACACGTACAGCACTCAACTTATTTGAGATGCCATATATGTTAGAATAGAAAGGTGTTGCTCCCCCACACATAGATGGTAGCATCTCCATGGAGTATGGGGACCAAACTATCTAGTCAGAATATTGGCCTGACTTTACTTTTCAGCTTCATGCATAAATGCGTATTTATTCATTTACTGATTCAGAGTATGTCTATATCACTTCTATTTTAAAGTTTGTTTTTATCTATAATAAAAGTGCTGGACAGGACACAGAAGCCATACCCAACAGATTTAGAATAACATGTAGACAAGGAACAATAAAAAAGAACAAAGTGCAAAACCCAGGTAGAAGAAAACTTAAAACAGATGCAGGACAGTTGGAGTAGGACAATTAAGCAGTTTTCTAAAAAGAGGGAAATGACTGAATTGGCTGGTAAATATTTTTAAAGATATGAAACAGCAGGGAAAAAAGTACAGATATATGAAACAGAAGAAGAAACGTAGAGTCTGACAGCAATAAGTGAGTTATGAAGAGTGGTAAGAGAAGGGAGGGGTGAAAAACAAACAGGCGCTAGCGATGAAGATGTCTGAATGTATTAACAGCCATGTACAGTAATAAAATGTATTACTAAGAATATTGTTTGTACTTTTAATAAAAGAAACCACCCTAAAGAGGAACATCCAGAACAAAACTGCATGTGAAAAACTAAACCCACGTTATGGTGTCATTTGCATGCAGTAGTACACACAGGTTGCATTATGCAACCACAGTTCTTGGCAGCCACCAGAAATGCCCCGTTCCGAGACTGCTACACTTTTGAGAAGGAGACAGTCCACCACAAGGTAGCTGGTCCAACTCTTGCTCTTACGTTTCTGGTTGTTGCTACAAATCTATCACTGTGAAAGCTAAGATTAGCTTGGAATCCCCTCAGTCCATCTGTGCCTTGGCTTGTTCTGTGCTGAAGTACTGGCCACAGTTAGGTGGTGATTGTCCCCACCCGCATTTCAAGAGAGACACATAAAATGTCCCCTTTGCAGAAAAAGCTGGAAAAGATTTGCAGCAAGTTTCTCCATGTTGTGGAAGGCCTTTTACAAGGTTGATCACCCCCTACAGTGAGACACAAGTGTTCTATACAGCGAATGCAGGAGAGAGAAATTATGTAAATGTCATCAGTCAGTTCATCATCTACTAGAATTATTAGCATTTAAAAAGCAGAAAGAAAACCAAGGTAAATCTTTGTCAAATATACTGAAAATATTGCCACACATGTCATCTATTGGAAGCAATAAATATGCTATGTGTACCATTATACACACTTTGTTCAGATAATTTCCCCTAGTTTCTTTAATTAAGTAAACCCTCAGCATAATTGTATCCCAATTATATTCTGGATCAGTAAGTAACTTATCCAAGATTTCTAAATAAGTGAAGTGCTGGATTTATAATTAGTTTCTATAAGCAGGTAAAACTACATGCACGGTTTTAACATTCAAGGAACTAATGAAAAGAAAATCATGCTAAGATACTGCTGGAAGCATTTTAATAGAGTTTTACACACAGCCCAATATTTTCTAAAGCTCCAGTCTTTTAAACTATTGTCATACTTAATTCAATAAATGTAACATCTACATCAACTTTGATTGCACTATAAATAATTTATAGAAAATAATTTACCTGCACTTCGTAGGTTAGGGTCTAAATCAGGCATTTCCTTACACGCATCTGGACTAACACTGTATATAGAAGCCCCTGCTTCGTTGGTAATGCTGCAAAACAGAAAGCAAATCATCAAAATTGTGCAAAACACACTGCAGAAGCCAAACGTCCATTTCTTGCATTTTAACAGCATTTATGCAAAATACAAAATGAATGTTTATGTACATGCAGACACGCTTGTGTATGCATATATGGAACTAACATCAAAGCCTAAAATGTACCACTCTCTATAGGCTTTGTAAGACTTCAGACAATGATTTTGAGTATATGTATTTGAAAGCAATTTGAATTGAAATGTATAGGATTTATTTGCAATATTTAGGGTCCAAGCACCAAACCTGTAATAACCATATCTGTGAATATCTCCAGGGTATGTATCACCTTTCATTCATGCCATCTTTTCCTTTGTTTTCATCATGTTACCAGTAAACCAAAATAAAAGTAAGCACATTTAACACCTATCCCTCTATCCCCCAGCCCACCCATCTAAAAACTTCCTGCCTCCCAATTTGGGCTATTAGACAATTAAAACAAAATGTCTGAACAAAACTGATGAGACTGCATCCTATCTTTCAATCCATTGGGTCACATATACTATTCACATTTTCTGTCATATATGATAAAGCATTTTAACACATATAAAAATAGATCAATTTCAAGTAGTTACTTAAATATGCAGCTGAATGAAAAAAGGAGCAATCCTTAATAGCAATTAATTTATTTTTTGATTATATTATTATGCATTTATTTAGGCCACATTTTATAAAGGGTAATGTGGCATAATAATATGAAGGCATAATTGCCAGTTCATCAGATCACACACTGGCCAGTTCCTAGTGCTACACAGAAATTCTAAAGTGGTCTTTCTGAAAATATAGATGTGTAGCACTGTCAGTATTCATTCAGCTGCAGAAATAACACACTGCTCAGTCCAATGAAGGTCTCTCTCTCTGTCTCTCTCCCTCTCTCCTGCTCTAATATATATCTCAAACCCAGACACATCTAATATACATGCAAGTTAAAGAATTCCAGAATGCAAAGCATAGCACTCGCTCACAAAATTGTGATAAATAAAACTGGGCATTTCTGTTGCTATTCTGGCTTGCCAAAGGGCACTGATCTGTACCCCCCAACACACCTTCTCTCTTATTCTCTCTCTCTCACATGTACACACACATACACAACTGTCTCCTCCAAAAGCTACTAGAGTCACAATATTGCATACAAGGCCAGCCTTAATAGCTGAAGTTACCAAATCCAAAATGCAAACTTACAAGGCAAGTGTATCAAGTTTGCTTCACTTAGGAGCACTCAAATGCCCCAAAGTTTTAGACAGCCAGCTAGGAAGGTGAACAGAAATAACTATCAAAATTGTATCATATTTTAGAAGGCTAACACAGAAATCCTGAGGAGAGGATCTGCTAAAAGAGAATACGCTCCTTTTCACCTACTGTTGAAAACCTTGACTGAATACACTGAGAGAAAACAATGGCATTTCTGTTCATAGCAAAGAACCAGCCCCTTTAAGCCCCTTTAAAAATCGACGGGTCAGAGGCAATTGGACTCAATTTAATTCATATATTCAAAGCCAAGATGCACACAGTTGCTGAACTGCCAAGAAGCCATTTATTATTAAGTACAATTTGACAGATAAATAGATAGAGCCAAAAGAGTCCACTCACATCCAACTGAATTTGTGGGTAACTCTATCAACTTTAGCAAAGGAAAAATGACACGGAAGAAGCCAGTCAAAAAGGAGGATGTGTGTTGCGTTAAAAAGAAACAATTAATGCACTTTCAAATGTTCTGAAGTACACAGATTGCTAAGAGCTACACACACAGAATGCCATCCAACTCTTTTCCATTGCAGGCTTGAAAAATAACACGGGAGGAAAAAATGAACTTTTAGAAACAGCTGAAACAAAAGCCATTTTTCAAGCATTTCCAAGTCAAAACCAGAATCAGCCTGGATTTAAAAATGTTTATTCCTTTTCAGAAACAGACCATTTTCAGCATTTCATCCCACATTTACGGCATTTAGAAGCAATGCTTTCCAAATAAGGCCTCTGAGCCTCACATTTGGAGCACTCTCGATTGCAAAAGTCCCAGATTGATTGATTAATTTTGCCAAACTCTGTCGAACACAGAGGGACCCAACAGAGACCACACAACAAGGCTAAATGATTTGCAGAGAAAATCCAAAAATCTTTTTCTTCTTGATGAGCACAAGGAGCCAACTTTCAGGTAATTTTTCTCAACTTTCTAGTCAATCATATTTCAGCTGGCCAGTGATGGTCTCCAAAGGGAATTCTGGCATTAAATAAAGAATGTTGAAATGCAGCATATGTTTAACACTGCATTTCTCCTTATAGCAAAACATAGGATTTAAAATGTTCACAGGGACATTGTATGTATATTCTGATAACACCATGCATCCATTCAAGCCTTTTATTGTTTAAAAAGAAACTTTGGGAATCCGAGGATAACTGATATCTATTGAATTGATTGGAGTATTGATTTTCATCAGGGCACATCTGACAGATTTATCTAATCAATGATAGATGTACATCATTATGCTCAAATCAACAACTGCAAATCCACTCCTCCTAGAAAACAGTTAAATGAATAAAGTACATGTTTAAAAGTAAACACAACTGCCAGGCCAGAAAAGCTTGAATGGAAAAAATAATTTACAGTATTCCATTTGTATGATTTTGACCATTTTTAGATGTAAAATACTGAAATAATACCAGATTCAAATAGAAAAATGGTTCTGAAGCTAAGAGGCAGCACATTTTAAAATGTGCAGAATGAAAAAAAAAGGTTTTCCCCCCATCTCTCCTTCAAAAATATCTTGCACACAGCTGATATAAATGGTACATAAATACATACAAGAGAAATACTGCACAGAAAGTTTGCTCTTTCACATTTTTGTGGGGACTAAATTTTGCACATAAATGGCAGGGAGATGAAACACATGGCTGACAATTTCTTTTCAAGGGTGAGAAGTGCTTTAATAATTTCCACTGAAAATCTGCACACCCCCACTGCAACAAATGTAATTATGTTTATTGCAGTTCACATTTGAAAAATCTGTCATGAAACAGGAGGCTATTGTGAACAGAAAGACGATATTTATAACAAATGTATTAGTTTCCCCCATTCTTAACCAAGATGTTTAAGACTTACTGTGATTTATTTCTGAACTAAACAGGCATACTTGCCTTTGTGAGTTAGGGTAATCAGGCATTCTTGGTCACTGCTATCGATTATGCAAGTTGCAAGCCTGGCTAAATAACTCATGAATGGGGAGCTCATTCTTCTAAGCAGTGCTGGAACACGATAATACGGGAAAGGATCGGGCGGGGGTGAAGGCAAAACTATCCCAATTCCTTTTAATGGGCCAAATCTGGAATGCAAGCATCTCCACCCTTTCATTTCAAAAACAACAAGGATTATTATCTGCAACAAAGAAGCCATTCCTTGCTTACTAACCTAAACAATGTCCACATTATTCAACTGGCTTCTTAAATGTCAAGACAAATGTCTTCAGCAGAAACTTCCAAAATCAATCAGACACATCTTCCTGAATATGTTTCTATGTTGAACTCTGACAGTGGTTCACATCCCCACTCACCCTCCGTAGGTGATATTGGTGCAGTTCCTACCTCACCTGGCGATAAAATGGGGAGGGAGAAATCAGATTCAAAGGTCCTTAAAGGAAGATAAGTTGTCATCACTATGGCAAGTATATAGCAGCCCCAAAAGACCTCTACTGGTTTCCAGTTGCTTTCCAGGCTCTGGTCAAGGTTTTAAATTTTAAAGCCCTAAACATTTTAGTACCTAGCTTTAAAAAATCCTAAAAGCACAAAAGCAAAGAAGGTGATCAAAAATGAAATGAAATGAAACCATTTATGGCCCAAATTGCTTTAGAACCTTTCTCTTTCTTTGATTAAAGCAAGCTTTTGTCTTTTCTGTTGCTTTTGGTATTACTTCTGGAGTTCCTCCTTTTGTTGCCAAACATTGCCGAACTTACCTGGGTATTAAAATGGAACTGAGAGGTCCCTTTGAGGGCACCACTGACCACAGAGGCCTTTTGTCATGCATGGGCTTTCTCCTGTTTTGCCTCCAATCTATGGGATGAGGTCTCCTAAGAACCATGACTGCCCCTACGCTGGTAGCTTTTCAAAAGATTGTAAGTAAGCATCTTTTCAGTCCAGTTCTTTAATTATGCAGTTTCAATGTTTAGGTTTTTAATTTTTAATTTTTTTTACAAAAAATTATTTTAAGTTTTTTACTTTTTAAAAATTTTGTAAAATGCTAGTGACTTTCCCAGGAGAAAAATACAGCAGTATATAAATGCTCAATAATAAATAAATGTTTGGCCCCTAGAAGCGCAACATGTAACCTGAAGGGTTGGCTCTATGGGGCTTTTTACCCTACAGAGTTGTCTACATGGCTGGTATGGGAGAACCAAGCAGTGTCTACTCGATGGTTTGCTCTTGCTGGATTGGTAGAAATGTAGACAACAATGCACTGGAATGAGTTAAAAGTAAAGCACTTCAGCTATAACAGATCAGAATAACTGATATGCAAGTACCACCAAATGGCTCAGGTTTTAAGAAGATAGTGAGAAACATACTCAGAAGATTTAAAGATAAATGTCATTAGGGTTCTAGGATTAAATCAGCCCATACATTTTCACTTTGAAGTGTAAGAAGTGTAAGACTGTGATTTTAAGTACATTTAAGAAAAGTGTTCAGGAAAGCAGTGTGAATCTTTTCAATTTTTAATCAATTTTATACATTTAATATCTATTATATTTTCTTTATAGTAATGGGAAAAACTGAGTATGAATTTGGCACTCTCTTTAAATCTTGGGCATATCCAGTCACTGCCACCAAATTAAAATATATAAATCAGCTTCTACTCATGTGAGATAAGCACTTTTTTGCATTACAGAGAACTAATTCTAAATTATTAGCCTCTCCTAAGTGATGAGTAATTAAGCATTCAAAAACTCATACGTATATACAGCAACAATCAATAC